AAAAAGGTGTAAAAACCTGTAAGAACTTCATCAGGGTAGATTTTAGTTAAAGATCTTTGTGAGGGGAATGAAGCTTTTTGTATCTTATGACCTTTTATGAAAAACATATAAATGCTAGAGCCTTGAATTTTTCATTAATTAAAGAAGACCTCAGCCCACTCTTTCGCTTGAATTTATAAAGTGGGGCTACACACACAAACACAAACACACACTTTCCTCGAGTATACGCCTGCATATTGTGGTAGTAAAACCACAGGAAGAAGGCGACGCCGCTCAGACCCCAAAACACTCACTGCATTTGTCCAAATTGGAACTCGAGAGAGAGAGAGAGAGAGAGAGAGAGAGAGAGAGAGAGAGAGAGAGAGAGAGAGAGAGAGAGAGAGAGAGAGAGCCACAAAGGTTGTTTGTATCCCAGTGAGCAGCGTTGGTGGGGTGAAGGGTTGTGGGTAACGCTTACTGCTGAGGTTCCCAGCCAACTTGGCACGTCTTTTGAACTTCCCCTCACCCTTTTGTCTTTTCACTACACGGACTAACGGATCTAGTGAAGTATTGCACTGTTGACCAATTATTACGGATATGTTCACTCAAAAATCCTTTTCTCTTTCCTCTGAAAATCTGGCAGAGTCGTCTCACATTGACTGATAAAGAGGGAATTTCACTGCCTAGAAAACATCATTTTGACCTGTCTCGCAGTATAATATAAAAGATCATCTCATGCGGGCTTCAAAGGTGGAATATGTGTTTTTAAAAAAAAGTAATTTCAACTTTATTTTTCAATGAATAGGGCAACACTGACCATTAGTCAACAACAGAAAAGTCATAGGCAACAATTTTGATCATAAAATAATCATTTAGATCAAATATCAAGCTAAAATGCCAAATTACAGCATCTTTATGATAGTTTTATGGTTTTTAAATTGAATATATTTGGGTTTGGACAGTTATTCAAACAAAATAAGCAATCTGAAGACTTCACTTCAGGCTCTATGAATAATGGTGGTCAATAATGGGCATTTTGGACTATTCATTGACATTTTACAGACAAAAAAAGTTTCTGACAGATTAATTGATAATAAAAAATGTCAATAGTTCCACTACTAGACTATACTGAATTATTATTTTACATTTTTTATACTAGAATATAATCTATAAATACAAAAATAACTAATCCATAATGACAAAATTCATTAGTTGCCCCTCTAACAACACATCAAAGTCACTCCTTTTCAGTCCCTACACCTCCCTCCTCCCCCTGCAGTTCCCACCAGCGGTCATTTTCGGGTGTCAAGGACCTCGCACTTGGGGTTTCGGGAGGTGGGCCCTCAATTAGCGAGCCACGCGTCCTTTGGAGGACAGAGGAACTCCATGAGGAGTCCTTAACGACTGGCCTCTGTTCACTCTGCTCTGACCCCGTGACCTCGGGGTCACAGGCCACAATACACTCCCATCTGGAGCCGCGTTATCGGCTCTATGACGAAGGGGACGGACGGCAACCCCTCTGCATTCAGGCCAAGCTGCGTGGCACTATTGAAGGCCTGAGAACGGCAGTCCTGCTCCAACAGAGACACCTCTCTGAACTGCTGCCCGGCTTTATGAATTCAAATGTCGCCCTCTGATCAGGTCTGATAATGTGGATCTGTCTTCTTTAATTGAGCTGGACCAGAAGGAAGAAAGGTTGCACACATGCACTGCACAGCAGGGGAGTTGCCCGGAGCAATTATAAACCAGTATTTTTGTCCACTGAGCAGCACTAATGTGGATCTGTTTCAGGGTAAATGCCTTGCTCAATGGCACGTTGCTGGGAAGGAAAAGTCCTTCCCTCTTAATGAACTAGTTCTCATCCGTGTTTTTGCATTCTGCATAAAGACACTTGCAAATACAAAATATTAACGATGAAAAGGTTCGTTGTAGGGATGGGAATTGAGAACTGGTTCCAAATTGTCCGATCCATCAGAACCATATGCCTCCAGGCTGATCAATTCTTTTAATCAATGCCAACATGTTTTGTGCATTGCTAAACAATGATGTCAAACCCACGCATCTATGCTGCTGGAAAAAGGAGAAGTCATGGCGGCGAGGTAGAAACAGTTCAAAGAGTGGCTTCATTTCACTCAAACTACTATTACTGCACTGAGTTTGGACTCAGATATATTAAAACTGCGGCACTGATTGTGTATGGCTTATTTCCACACAGAAAACTGATCAGGAATCAATAAGGGAGTAGATTAAAAAAATCTGACAGATAGAATCGATAATGGTATTGGTATCAATACACTCTTATCAATGTCCATCCCTATTCAGAAGTTTCTGGCCGTCTAATGTTCATCATAAACTTATTAAGTGATTACAATATTAAACTCAACCAGCTTTTCAAACACTGTAACAAATACACATATTCATTAAAAATGTGTATGAACGAGGATAAAAAGTTAGAAAGTATTTCCGCTTTCTGTTACTTTTTACTCCACTACATTTATTTTATTTTTCATTTTAGTTAAATGTATATTTAATGTATGTTTTGTATTTTGTATGCTACTGGATACTTGAATTTCCCTCGGGATAAATAAAGTATCTATCTATCTATCTATCTATCTATCTATCTATCTATGTATTTGATAACTTCAGTTAGTAGTTAATTTGTTGATTATATTCTGTATTATTCATCTGAACCTGAAAATAAATTATAATGTACTATTATAGGTTAAGATAAGACGTTATTGATCCCGGGGGGAATCCACAACCTACACAGAAGTATATAAAGTCATTAAACTGCACCATTAAAGTAATGAAAACTGCATCAATAATAATAATCCAATACTATAATATACATTATTCAGACAGACATTCTGCACAATAAGCACATTTACTTTTAGTACTTTTTATATTTTGTGAATATTTGACTTTTACTTGTAACAGATTATTTTTACATTGTGGTATTTCTACTTTTAAAGAGTACTTCTTCCACCACTACACTAAACACTTCACGGTTAATAACGCTGTTGGTTGTTAATCTGTTAAATAACAATTTCCCACAGCCCAAAGTAATGTCTTCACTTCTCTAGTGTGATTTACAATCTAAATATAATGAAAAATATTCAATTTACGATAATGTAAAACAAAAAAAATAGCTGCTTAAGTAACCTATTGCTTAAATAGATAAGACAAATTATTGTTGATTATATTTTCTGCTGATCAAAATGAACAGATTAACTGTTTAAGTTGTGTCCTTTAACTTTGGCTTACATTGACTGTTAAGATACATGCACTAAATACACATTTTTGTGTAAGGTTTTGATTTGTACTCAATCAAATGTATTTATACTTTTATAGTTAGGAATTAAAATGTTTCAATGCAAAATAATATTAGCATAACCAAAAGGTAACTTTTTGATCTGCGATGATTTAAACAGGTCCTATGTTGTATCTATCAACAACTGAGTATGTAAAAGGTAAAAGCTACAGTTTGTGTTTCACTTACAGAGAATAAGAGCTTATTGTACAGTAAGTAAGTGGAGGTGGTGTTACGTATGTAGTGCAAAGTGTTGGACACTTGTAATGTAACTTAATTTAATAGCACATCAACAGAATAAGAATTAAAGGGTCAAAGCTTAGGTATCCAAAGAGGTGACAAATATTTATCCCTCTGAAATGAGTGTTTCTGCGACTGTTCGCAACCATTCTGGTAGCAGCTTTGTTTGTTTCAGCCTCTCTATTGTTAATATGGCAGGGATCAAAATATTTAGTGTGGACTCAGCTGTGATATTAAACACTTCACTGCTCCCTGACACTTTGCCACTATGTTGGTTTCCACCACAGCTCAATGACGCCACCTGGTGGCAGAACTACAGTGGCTGCTGTTCTCACACAGAACATCTAGAAAACTGTTTTAATTGATGATGTTAATTACATCCAGTGACAACCAGGCCTCGGATGAATACTGAACAGCTTGTTTGTGGAATTAGATAAATAATTTTAATCATTTTCCCAACATCAGCCTCAAGCTTTTAGCCCTGGGTGCAGCTAGGTCAGTCACCTGCGATTTTAATGGATGTACAGTTAATAACTTTACCTGCAACAAACACACATTTGCTAAACATGAGCATGTATTACTCACATTCTGGGTTTATCTTGTTTTCCATCAAGTTTTCCTCAATTTTCCAGCGGAGTGATGAAACCGTGACGCAACAATTTCTGTCGCTTATAGGTAGGTGTAGGCGCACGTGGGCGCAACCACGTTGGTCACCTGACCTTAATTGGTTGTTGTCGTCGTAGCCTGTTTATTGATAAAGTGATTAGAAAATCTTTATTAAATGATTCCTCCACTTTCTCCTTGGTTGTTATTTTCTTTATTATTTAGTAAAATAATTTTATTGTTTACTTTATCTAGTTTAAAAGAACAAAGTTGCTGGTATAGTCTTTGTCTATCAGTTTTTTTTTTTTAATTTTTGTTTGTTTTTGAATGAGATAAAGCTTATCAAATATAGATCCAGCCTCAGAAATACAACTAAGACAATTAAAAAAAGCCTCCCAGGTGTTCCTGCATGAGAAGAAGCCTGGGTCTAGTTCATCTATCCAATAGACCTTTTTCACAGAAGCCATTTTAACATGAAATAGGGTAAACACAGGTGTCACCAATTATACTAATTAAGCTTCCTTTAAATTCGGGTCAAACAGAGTCAGGATGCTGCTGTTGTTCATGTTGGCTACACTAAATTGAACAGAACCTTAATTACCCTACTATTCCATGTCAAAATGGCTGCTGTGAAAAAGGTCTATAGATAATACTGCATTAAAGAGTTTCCTCACACTTTCTATTTCAATAAAATTCTCCTCTTTCTGTCACATTTTCTCTCACGTGGGATTTCAGTCCACATTAAATGGTATTACTACTTTTTCTGTTTACACATAGACCAAGCATGGTTTGACTTATGTTTACCCAAACTGTCTGTTGTGAGTCTGTCTCTGTCCACTTGAACATGAAATGAAACCACACACAGTGCTATGGGTAAAATAAGAGAACGATTTATTCTTTGTTCTGTTCTACAAAACTTTATTACAACATAAAGCTGACGAACAAAACTGTGTCTGCTGGAAATAAAAGGTTTCTCTCAGAAAAAGGCGGACAGCAATCACAGGTGTGTAAACTAATATATGTACAATATTTATTGACTATTTGTTAAGATTGACTTTGTGCTTTGGAGTTGTTAAGATTCTTTGAAAAAGTAAGGACTTTACTCCTACACACACAGAAAACTAAACCTCTGTTGGATACAAAGTCCTGGAAGACATTAGCACCATTTTATATAAAGAACCACAAATAACTGTCTTTACTGTAATGAAGATTTGGAGCTGACATGAGTTCACACATTTACTGTATTTCTTTCACTTTAATATCTGCTAGTCACAACATGAAACTCTGTACAGTGGAAAATATTCTTAAGGACATTAAAAAAGTAGGAACATTTAACTCCCTCAAAAGAAAACTTAGCCTGTCTGTGCACTCAGGCTGAGAGGAAAACTTCAGGTGTCTGTATGCGTCTGTAGTTCATTTTGTTCTGTTTGAGCGTTCATTGGTAAAAGCATTTGATCTTTGTCACCTTGTCACGTTACAACAGCAGAATTTAAGAAAGGAAGACAAGGAAAGCGTGGCTGACTTTTAAAACTTGATGTCCCAGTACTGCAGTGTCTCTTTAGTGGCTTCAAACTCGTCTTCAGTGGAGGCAAAGTTGCTGTTGGTCTGTGATGTCGCCTCAGGATGTTGGGTTGGACCTCCGGCCTCTGAAAGGTCATTCAAAAGACATATTCAAGAGTTATTCTCTATTTGACAACAAACTCCAAGACCAAAACCAAAAATGTGTTAGTCTGTCTCTCAGTACTTTCCGACTGTGGTACTGAGCCCCAAGAATTTTGTTTCCTACTGAAGATCTAAATCTTTAGGAATGGGTCACAAATATATATTTTTATTGTTATTTTGTAATACAACTGGGCACTGTAGTGTTAAGAAAAAGGTACTTAAGCAGGAGTAAGTACAGTTTAGTCAGACAACTCAGCAGCAGTACAACATAGTTGCCATAATAGCAAAAATACCTGGTGGTCGGGCTTACAGAACAGGCGATGGCGATGCATTGCAGCAGCAGCACTCACTGAGCAGTCGGAGAAATGCAGCTTAAATAGACGGCCAAATTGGGAAGGTGTGTTTGGTTTATGATCATGGAGAGTGAGGCATGTCACCTGCGTTTACTGTATAGCCGTGCAGCTCAAGTTGACTGCCTGAACTAGCACTAGGTTCAACATGGCAGTTAATTTGTTGGGGACTAGTTTTAGCAGCAGATTAATAAACTGTGAAATGAAGGAAGGCGGTGCTACAAGACTGATGGGCAATAAACAATAATTGGAGGAAGAATAAAAAAGTGAAATGAGAAGTATATAAAAATGATAAATATTCAAATATAAAATATGATATGTAATATAAGATTAAAGTGTTAAAATGTTGGTCTATAGGTGGGTTGTGTGATTTGTGTATAATGATCTACTGAGTATGAACAGCAGCAGGACAATGTATGTGGAACTGTGTCAAAATAAATGTCAATGCCAACGTTTGTATTTATAAAGGAAAGACTTTGGATCCACAGACAACACTTGTTAATAGGATACATTCATTGTTGGTTTTAAACATACAATATGATACAATATGGACTTATCTTACCAGGAATGCACAGGATCTGTGGCCTCTCCCACCTGCCTCCAAACAGACACCTGATCAGAGGATTTAGTCTCTGCTGGAAACCCTGAGCGCAGTGATAACGCACCACTGCGCTGGTCTCGTATCTCTGTCGGGCTTTTCCAAATATGGAGGCGTTTCGGACTTTGGGCGGTGGACCGCATGAGGCTGTTGGAAGAGTTCAGATAAGTTAGGTCCTTACTGGGGCTACATACAGTTCACTGTATGATGTAACAGCCCAAGACAACCACACCAGGGAGTTGAAACCATTAATGAGTCTAATTCTTCTAACTCACAGGTGCCTTTCTTGCAGGTGTATGCAAGGTGATAGTTGCAGGGTACGTCACTCCAGCGTCCGTCATCGTGCCACACCATCACCACACAGTCTTCACCAGAGAGAAAATAGCTGTCTGGCTGCCCTCTGTACCAGTTCTCATACAGCTGTATGCAATGGAGAGAAGAGACAAAGGTGAACTTGTTTTAAACTATTTTCATGTTAATAATGTTGTTCTTTCCACTTATTTTCCCATTTCCTATGAGGCCGTATCATATAAAACGAGAAAGAATCCTTCAAAATGAATGTGTGAACGACAGGGGGTGTATCAAAATTAGACAAACCACACAGATACTTCATATTATTCATATTAATATGGCACGTCCTTAAAGAAATAGTTCCACATTTTGGGAAATATACTTTTTCACGTATGTAGCTAGTATGTGCAAGAGCCAGGAGACAAAAAAAGACTAACAAAAGACTCAGAGATCCTTTATAATACAAACTGTAACTCGTAAGGTCTTGACAAAGCAGATGACGTCAGTATGACATCACTAGAGTTATTTTTACTGAATTGACAAAATGTCCCCAGAAGAAATCATACAAGTGTTTTCAAAGACTGACTCCTTGAGTGCCCCTTTAAAGTTATCAATATTTGATCAATAATAGTTTGTTTGTCTCCTTTTTCCAGTGATGTTTCTCTGATCTGAAAACCTACAAGCACATGTATGATTAGATATATTTTGTATGAGCTCAGTAACACTCCTGGTTTCTCATATTCCTCACCAGCGGGTTGCCGTCAGACCAGCGGAAATCATCCTCAATGGTCTTATCATTCAAGCCGGTCCACTGGTATTCTTTGTAGTTGCCTGGTGAGGACAATAAGGCATTATATCCAGTCACCAAAAGACAATAAACAGAGGCAGCAAAGGTACACACATGCTTTACTCAAGAACAGATACCTGAAGTATTGAAGTATTTGAACTTTTCTACCCACCTCTGACAATAAATAACATAAACCATGAACTTACTGTTGATGTAATTCTGCTCCTCAGGGGTCATGATGGACACCAGATGGGCTCCCAGCATACGGCACTGCTGCTCTGCGACCTCCCAACTCAGACGCTGGCTGAAGTGTCGGTAGCAGAAACCGTGGAACTTATCCCAACCCGGTTCACACTGCTCCAAGTCTGAAAACATCACAGAGGAGGAGAGTCTTTGGATATCTCAACAGGTGTTCATGTTGCAGATATAACTGTGTGAATCCCCCCTAATTACTTCACTGAAACGGCTATCAGCTTCCCAACGTGTTTGACAGACCTGACAGAAGTAATTTCCACTGCAAAAAGTCGAGAGAGCTCACCTGTCTGACAGAAGTCTCCTCCATATGTTGGCAAACAGAGACATTTAATCTGCCCACTTTGGTCAGTGCAGGTGCCTCCATTGAGACAGGGGTCGCCCAGGCAGGCATCTGAAACAAAAAAGAGTTCAGATTATACTGCTGCTTAAACTACATAAGCGCACAGGCCACAGTCTGTGTATTTTATTATTTATTATTGAAAATTACATTTGCTTGTATTTAAAGTATAAATATCAGGATAAAAATGGATTTACTGCATCAAAAGATTAGAGAAGTAAAGATTGAAGACAGGCTAATTGTGCATATAGTGAAATATATACATTTACAGAGGTAGATAAATATGTGCAAATATAGTAGTAATAGCTGCATATTACAAGACATCTTCAGATAAAATGACACGTTGAAGCATCAGGTTGCATGAGAGCCAACAGATGGCAGCAGAGGACAAACTTTAGAGTGTCACATGAGGTCAAAGTCTTCAGGTCCTCTTCTGTCGTCTTAGGTGAATCTCTGACACTCCTGAGTTGTTTCCAGACCTTCTTTCTTCCTGTCTTCTTCTTCTTACACTCTTCATTAATAATACATGCTTCAAATGATACTTGGATGCCAGATGCAGTATGTGACTGGGTCATACTATTTCAAAAAGACTTACAGGGATAGGTCACTCATTAAAAACAGGTTCTGTATTGTATCCACATAGTTTCAGTTTGATTCACCCCACGACATTACAGTGAAAAGTATTTTGTTTGTTGGATTTAACGTGTCAAAACATTAACACTCACTTCCAAATGCAGTGACACAGTTACACGTGATAATCAACAGACCTTGTTGTGATCAGTTTTGATAACTACTCTCTACCAAAGGACACTGTCTGTTTGCTGAAGTCATTAGATATTATTACAGTATGTCAAACATTTTATGGAAGATAAAAGTACACAGTAGTGTATATTTATAAAAATACTGTTCGGTCTTTCCGGTGAAAAGTCCTCTGATGTGTGTGTTTCACATAATTTCTACTCACTGTCTCACCGTATAATTCACACAGACTACAACATCACACAAATAACATTTGTTTCATGCTCGCATCGCTTCCTCCTTCCCTTTTAAAATCTCTCACAGGACGATTTTTTAAACTAAGTTTTTGCAGATTATTTAAAGGAGTTCATGAACTATTTAAAGGTCCAGTGTAGGATTTAGTGGCCTCTAGTGGTGTAGCTGCAGATTACAACTTCCATGCTTCACCCTCCCTTTCCAAGCACAAAGGAGAAACTATGTAGGCTGTGAAACACACGAAAAATGTGAACGGCCCTCAGAGTCAGTGTTTGATCTGTCTGTTCTTTGCTACTGTAGAAACATTCTGCTTCAACATGGCACCCTCCATAGAAGTCGACCTGCGGTGTCTGTAGATAAAAAACGGCTCATTCTAAGGGAACAAAAACACAACGATTCTTATCTTCAGGTGATGATACACTATTGACAACATAGTTATTCATGTTACACTCCATTTCTGCCAATAGATCCTCCTAAATGTTACACACTGGACGTTTAAAGGAGTTATTTTGGGAGAAATAGTAAGTAATAACCCATCAAATCTGTTCATTTTATGCTACACCTATTTGTAAAAGTTGCTCTTATTACTGTGACTTTATGTTGCCAAACTCTTGTATGGTTGATAACAAGAGAAATATCTTCAGCTTCAGGCAAAGTGTCCCTGTCAAAAGGTGGTTGTTTAAAGTAATGAAAAAAAGAGAGTTTGGAGTTCTAGTTTAATTTTCTAAATTTGTAAAAGAAGGCAAAGTAGAAGCTTATGTGTCCAAACTGAAATTAAACATTTTACAAGTGGATTCAGTTTATTTGTTTCCTTTGACACCCTATAAACAAGATCTCTGTCATTATACTGCACACTCACATACTTCTCTGTTCAGAGATCTGTCTTTGAGTGTTTGTATGGAAGGTAATAACTGCTTTACTCAAGTCAAATGAGAATCATATGTGCCGAAAGTAAAACCATCATTCAGTTTTGTTGTAAAATACACAACTGGGGTTAAGTATAAAAAAATTAAACCATGTGCTGTCAGCCATGTTGGCATCTCATCTTTTAATTTTTCAGTCTGCATAGCCACAAGCATTTCTGTTGAATTCTAAGCCCTTTCTGCAAAAAGTCAGCAAGATTTCTTGTGTTTATGTAGATTTCTTCAAACAGCACACAACATTAAATTCCCTGTAGGTGATAATGTGAGGCTGCCGATTTGAATTACTGGCTGAGTGTTGGCTTTCCCACTGTCTTTCTCTGCTTTTTCCTACATAAGCTGCTGAGTCTCCAGTCTTTTATCATCAAATATAGTCCAATATATATAATATAATAATGGAGAATGGATAATGCAAAGACATCTAGATGCCCTGATCTGTGCAATATCCATTTATTGAGTAAAGCTTTCAGACAAAGTTCTCTGTCTGAAAGCTTTACTCAGTGAATAAATGTTTCACAGATTGGAGTTTGTGTATGCTTTTCTGAAATTATTACTTCCTTTAAAAATATTGCCTCTTATGTTGTCTATTTGTTAATAGACTTAATTCAATACCATGTCCTACATGCCTTTGCAAATGTGGTGAGTGAAGCCATTGCAAAAGGACTGAATATGCTGTCAAGGAGTTGGAAAGACAGTTTTCATTAACTGTCAGTAAAGTTAAGTCTGTTTTGTTATGCACTACACTTGAGATCATTTGAACGCACCTGTAAAGACGGATGGAGCCATTCTAGTCTGTTAAATAAATATAATTACATTGTTTTCTGATTTGAATATTAGACTTAATGGCCCACTGTGTTAAAAGGCAGTTAATAGTAGTAGTATAGTGGCAACAATTTCTTTTAATGATACGCATATTTATGTCAATCTATGGAAGCCAATTTCTGCAAGGAAACACAGTTTTTATTTAATAAAATTAATAATATTAATGATGAATCAAAAGGATGAGATACTAAATAAATATAATTAAATAATAATTAATATGAGAATTATTACTATGAGAATGTTTATTTTTATTATGCCTAACTTTTAAGGTTTTCTTGGCAGAAATAGGCTTCCATACAGTGCACCACTCACTGGAGCTGTTGTTGCTGCTGTTTTAGTAGTAGGAACTAACTTCCAGGGGAACAGTAGTTTACAGTAGACTAAAGCAGACTGAAAGAAAACAAAATAACAGATTTATCAACTGATGGTGAGACGGGAAACAAACATAGATTAGTTGATTTTATCATTCTTACACCTAAAAACACAATACTGTACACATCTTGGAAGATCATGATTAAACAAATAGAACATGACTTGAGTATGAAACATGAATGACCTATTAAGGACATTTAAAAGCATAGTGCTAGATACTATCACTCACAAGAAATCAACACTGAACCATACTTGTGCTTATAAACATAATTACACATCTGTGCTTCTGGTACTAGACTCTCAAAAATAGCAATAGAAGTCTAAAAATCTGAGGAAAGAGAACAGTTTTAACACTTTCTGACCTGACAGTTATGGATTAAATATAAAACATTATTGCTGGTCAGTGCTGTTGCATTCAACGTAATTGCGGTTACATTCAAGATCGAGTCCTTTTATCAAGTTACTTCCAGCTTACTGCAAAAGACACTGAGTTTTGACAGTTAGCTAAAATAAAGAGAATAATTTGCACATGTTTGTTGCAGAAATGTATTATTTGCACATAAAATCCATCGATCAAGATACTGAGAAAATGTTTACCACTGCTTTCACCATCACTCTTGCAGAAAATCACTGTAGAAGCAGCACTGAAAACACTCATTCATAAACATACCAGTATATTACAGTACTTCACAGAAGTCAATCTTTGGATGAGGAAGAAAACATCATGCACAACAAGACTGGACTGTTGACAAATGTCAAAATGGGAGCTGTCCCAGTGTGAGTATCTCGAAGGGGAGTTGGGGTCATAAGGAGAGAAGTGAGGAGCGTTTTAAGGTGAAGCGGGGGGGAGTCAGAAGGGTGAGTGGTCTCTCTGAGACAAAAAAGTGAAACAAACGTGTGGAGTCATTTGAAAAGGAGGGGAGGTGTTTTACAGAAAATGGAGCAAAGGCAGGTTGGGGCAGAGGACAGACCAGGGATTTTAGTGCATCATTGCGTCGAGTAGCAAAAGGAGGACGGTTAGGCTGATGAGAGAGGCTTTAACATTACCTGAAGCTTTCCCTGTACCGCCTACAGCTGCCCTCTCATTGGGCAAGATAAGCAGGGTGGGTGGCTGGGTGAGACTAAACTCAACATCCACCAGACCTTGATCCACTGGTGGTATGAAGGCTGTCACCTTCTTGGGCTCGGCTGTCTTGTGGAAAACCTTTGGTGTAGAGGTGGTTGGGCTCCAGGTGCGTCTGGACCAGTGTGTGGTGGTCTTTGTGGTGGTGGTAGTCGTCTTCGTGGCAGCAGCAGTGGGTTTTGTACTCGAGGAGGAATCTGGAGCTGCTGTGGAGGTCATTGAGGAGGTTTCACTGCTGGACTCGAGGTCATTCAGAGACTCTTGGGGTCCAGTTGTGGTGGTCAGCAGAGCCCAGTTAGATGTTTGTGAATCGAGAGGAAAGACAGTAAAGTCTTCCTCAAAGGTTGGGGCAACAGTGGCATTTTCTTCAAGGTCTGGGGCAACACTAGCTTCTTCTTCAAGGGTTGGGGCAACACTAGCTTCTTCTTCAAGGCTTGGGGCAATGCTAGCTTCTTCTTCAAGGGCAAGGGTTGGGGCAACATTATCTTCGTCTTCAAGGATTAGGACAATGCTAGCTTCTTCTTCAAGGGCAAGGGTTGGGGCAACTATAGTTTTGTCTTCAAGGGTTGGGACAACGCTATCTTCTTTTTCTAGGGCAAGGGTTGGGGCAACTAGAGTTTCGTCTTCAAGGGTTGGGACAATGCTATCTTCTTTTTCTAGGGCAAGGGTTGGGGCAACTATAGTTTTGTCTTCAAGGGTTAGGACAACGCTATCTTCTTCTTCAAGAGCAAGGGTTGGGGCAACTATAGCTTCGTCTTCAAGGGTTGGGACAATGCTAGCTTCTTCTTCAAGAGCAAGGGTTGGGGCAACTTTAGCTTCTTCTTCAAGGGCAAGAGTCGGGGCAACTTCAGCTTCTTCTTCAAGGGTTGGGGCAACATTAGCTTCTTCTCCATGGGTAAGAGTTTGCGCAACTGTAACTTCCTCGTAAAGAGTTAGGTTAACTTCAGCTTTCTCTTCAAGAGTTGGGCTAACTTTAACATCATCTTCAATGGTTGGAGCAAATTTAAATTCTTCTCCAAGGGTTATAACAGCTGTACCAGGTTCCTGTCCACTTGCCTCTTCATACCCAGTGGTCGAAGTATCCAAATACACTCTGTAACCTGATGTATGATACCGTGCCGTGGTGGGATCAGTAGGCAACTGAGAGGTGTTCGACCCCTCTGGAGACTCAGTGGTAGCTAAACTTACCCCAGAAATGAGGTTGTCTTCAGACTTTGTCGGGTGGAGCTGTTTTTCTTCACTTTCCATAGTGACTGTGTCTTCCATTTCTATGCTTGTACTTCCCTCCTGTCTAGAAATGGAGGACTCCCACAACTGTGGTGCTGTGGAGAGGATATCTAAGCTCAGTTTGTCAGAATGGTGTGAACCAGACGAGAGCGCCAGATCGGGGAGTGCAGTCTGAGACTCAGCTGGAGCGCCGCTCGCCGAAGCAGAAGGTGATGGGTGAGTGGTGAAACCTGAAGTGGAAGACTCTGATGTGGAGATGAAGCTGACTGCTTTGACATCAAGGTCACTCTCTAGGGGAAAAAAGGATAAAGCATTTTTGCAGTTGTAAATACATTTATTATAAGATTAGTTTGACATTTTGGGAAATACTCTTATTTGCTTTCTTGCCAAGAGTTAGACGAAAAGATTGTCACCACTCTCATATCTGTAAATACAAAGCTACAACCAGCAGACGGTTAGTTTAGCTTAGCAAAAAGTCTGAAAGCAGGGGGAAACAGCTAGCCTGGCTTTGTCAGGAGGTAACAAAATCAACATTCCAGCACCTCTACAACTCACTTATAAACACGTTATATCCTGTTTGTTTAATCTGTACAAAAAAAGAGGCATGTGCTGGACTATTTCTTTGCCAGATGCAGTAACATTATGGAGTGCCTGCTGGCTGATCAGCCTGTCAGTGACATCAAAGACTCCCAGAAGTCACTGCTCCCTGCCAAGAAATAGTCACATAAAATCCTTTAACACTGCAACGTGCCATTGTTACAACAAGATATAATATGTTGCCTTGTGAGCTTTAGAGGTGCTGGTAGGTGGATTTTGTTACCTTAGGACAGAGCCAGGCTAGCTGTTTCCCCCTGTTTCAAGTCTTTGTGCTAAGCTAAGCTAACTGGCTGCTGCATCCAACTCTCGGCTTATTTCCAAAAATATCAAATAACTCCACCAAGGTATTGATGTTTTTTTCTTTTGACTTATACTCATTTAAATTTCTGCTTGACATACCTTGAGAAATATCTCCAGACCCATCCAGATGGGCCAACAATGAGGTTAGCTCCTTATTGGAGGATTTTGTAGTTTGTGTTGGTTGTATAACAAGTTCTTCTTCTGAGGCCTGAGTTGAGAGAGAAATCTGCCCAGGATCTTCTAATTCTGCCTCCTCCAACTCCACCTGAACCATGGGATCACGGGTCATAAGGGTCACCTCCCAGAAACTCTCCTCTTGAGTATGATTGCTGCCTGTCTCGTTGTAATTGCCTTGTGATGTGTCAAAACTCAGGTTGGTCGCTTGTGTTTCTTGGGAATATTTTGGGCTCTCAGTTGGCTGTGTATTTAATTCCAGATTTGTGCCTGTAAATGTCTGGGTATGTGTCTGAGATTCATACGATGATTCAGGAAACCCTGTGGTGCTTTCAAGCTCAGACTGGTGAAAGGTGAAGTTCAAGTTGTGGTTGGAATCTGTCTCATTGTAAACACTGGACAGCAACGATATGTTTTGTGTGGAGTCGTGGGTTTCTGTGGTGCTGATAGTACTGTTCATCAGTGCTACAGTATGCTGGGAGTCATAGCTCATTTCTGTAGGAGATGATGTTTCATCAGATGTCTGGAGGAGGCTTAATGTTGGTGTGGTGTTGAGGGAAGACTCTGTTGTATCTGTTATGACTGTTGGGTGTGTGTCAACCAGGTTTTCCTCAGTGGAAGCACTGGAGTACAGGCGAAAAGATTCAAGCACCCTTTGAGCTTTGAGCTCCACATGTTGTACATGTTGGTTCAGTTGCAGCTCTTGATCTGTTTCCGTAAGTATAACAACATCTTGTCCAATGTCCTCGGGCTCTGTGGACATATAGTCCATGGGAGAGTCGGTATGAGTATTTCTATTATCTGTAGAGGACAGTTATTAAAAATTAGATCATTACAGTTTAATTACATGCATATACATTTTAATAACAAAATCTGAATATCTTTTACATTTGTTGAAAATGTATTTTAAACATGATAATAAGGAGCAATGCATATCCAATGCAATTTGCACAAAATACTCACCTCTGAAACAATAAACATCATGAAGGCTGGATGGCTCTGGGAAGCCAGTTTGGTTGCTGAAGCGGTAGAGGGTTTTGACGCCTGGCTGAGGCCCTCCGCAGCGCTCTCTAGGGTGTATAATTGGGTAGCGTACACTGCCATCGGACAGCCAGCCAGGGCTGCAACGGTCCAGACCTTCACTCCATGCCAAGTACAGCTGTGCTGTTGTAGCCAGCTCTGCTCCAGCTGCTCCACAATATGACTGCGCCTCATAAAATGACAACTGCTGTGGGATGGAGTCATGAAACACTTCCCCTAGAAAACACAGAAAACACAAAACATTTGACATTTTTACCTTATGTACGCTATGTAGTTGGATCATTAACTTACTTGTGATTATATGTATATATAGCATAATATTGGCCAATTTTAGGCTTTTACAGACATAACCAGGTGGTGATTTGAGAGGGGGGGGTGCCTAAAACAATGCTTATTTCAAATACTGATAGCAAAATTGGCCTAAAAATCTAGTATAGGTCAAGCATTAGTTATTTTAATAGGTATTATTGATCATACCATCAATATCCTCCACATAACAGTAAACATCAAATAGATCATCTGGATCCATTGTCCCATAGTTTCTCACTCCTGGTTGGCCATCCATGTCTCCATAACAACCTTCACGGGGAACTTGGATTGGGTACCTGCAAGAGTGAAAACAATCTCTTAAACTTTATAAACTTCACTTTAAATTCTAGTGGAGATCCTGTCCTTTCAATACCAAACACACCTCAGGCTGAATTTTGGGGAAATGTGAACAAAAGTTTTTAGAAATACATCTACAATATCTTCATTAGATAAAGAGATGCAGCCGTTAAAGGGTAGGTTTGAGTGTCTCACTGAATGTGAGCACCAAGAAGCTTGTGTTGGGTGATGAGATACCTGACGGACTGGTCTGCCAGCCAGCCTGCATCGCACTGCTCGTAGCCGTCATAATAAGCCGCCAGCAGCTGGTCAGGAGTGGCGATTCGTGCCCCGATGGCCTCACAAGCCCTCTGGGCCTGATTGAAGGAGAACGCATAACGGCCCAAAGCATCTCTATAGTGGAATACAACACCTAAGCACACACACATAAGCACACATTTATTCTCAGATTACACAGTTTATCAAACAAATAACTGGGGATCAGTTAATGAAGGTTGCTGCAGTCGACAACGTTGTATTATAAGTATGTAGAGAGCAAAGTCCTATTTAAAAATCTGACTAAATTCTTGTAGAGAAAGGATGAGAAAGAGACTAAATGGTTGGCATTGCACATAGAAATTGTGTCTTTTTTCAGTCTTTTTGAATTATTCTGGTCATAGGAGGGAGAAAAGAAGTTGATAATCCATCAATCAACAATCAACAATCAAATGCCATATCTTAAACAAAAACACAGGAATTAAATACCAGATAATCAAAATAACAATAACATGAAATCTACAATCCATATCTACAATGTTAGAATTCATAAAATGAATCAGATATCAAAGTACGCAATAATAGCTTTGTTGTGTTACTAGCTACAAATGCTAACTTTAGCTATGTCAACTGAGAACATTTTTTTTCAGTTGTTATCAGCAACCAACTGTCAGCTAACATCTCTTCATGATAACAACACATTTTAAAGGCCTTCATCATAACTCCATTGCTCCAATACTAGTGACTGGCTTAGCATTAAACCACATGAGATAAATATAACTATCTGCTATAAAGTCCTTAACTATGACATTTGTAACTACACTACACGTCACCTAAATCTTTCCAAAACACCAATGATGATCAACATGTTTCATCTTGTTACCTTTGACCTTGAGTTGTACGAGGTCACTGGCATCCTCCAGGCCCTGCTGCACTTCGCAGCGATAGTGACCCGAGTCGCTGGAACGTAAATCTCCCAACCACAGGGACAGATCATCAGGGGAGGAAGTATAGTTGAGCCAGGCAGCGCGGTCTCGGTACGCTTCGTTGAACTTCACCCTCTGACCCCTCGCCACCAAGATCTGTGTCTCCACCCCACCGGACACCACAGTCCACTTGACACGCGGTGCAACAGGGGAGGAAGAGGAGGAGGTGGGTGTGGAAGAAAGAGACACCAAGCAGGGGATGGAGATGGAGCTGCCTAGTGGGGCGGAAATCGGACCTGAGTGGGGGATGTTCACCTGGAGCTGCCGGACATCATCTGCAGAAAAAAAATACAGGAACAGAGCGTGAAGAACAGCGTGGCTCTGTAAATCTCCTGACAATAGTGAATTGCGGCCTTATTTTTAAATGCACCTTTGTGTTCTTTGCTTATAAATGAATGAGAATTAGTGCTGCTGAAAGTTAGAGATAATGGGAAAATGTAGACGTACCAAACGCAGATGGAGTTTGGGTGGGGAAGGCCAGAGTGAGACTGCAGACCGCAGCGAGAAGTGGAAGTATTTCAACATGTCTATGGAGGTAAAGAGCAAAACACTGTAAAAATTAAGATTAGATCAAATATGACACAGATAAATATTAATAAAGCATCCCTTGAGTAAACTCAGGGAAAGAAAGGACACAAAAATTACACACATTATTTCCAATTTTCTGTTTCCAATTTCACACATGTTTAACCTTTAATGGGCAGAGTGATTTCCGATAGTCAGGTATTGTGCTAGTTCAGCTAGTCGGGAGACGTGCTCCACTGATCTCACCAAACTGATTTATTATAGGCTATTAGTAAAGGTCACACCTGCACACCTTTGTGCTACCTGGTGTTTAGCTTTGCACATGTATTGGGCGAAGAGACAGACTCAAGGTTACAAACTCATGTTCAGATTTTTAGCCATTTACTGTATTATTTGATAGGATCTTCTGCTTTTATGTATATGTAATACTGTTTAGAGCTGAATTGTACCACTACAATTAGATACGAGTAAGAACAAAGAAACACAAAGCACATATAAAACAGAGGGATTAAGATCTTTATTAGTAGAAGAATGACTTGAAAGAAAGAAAACAAGTTCACAATAAAGTCATTTCAGAGTAGATATTAAATCAAGACTGAGAGTCTAAAGCCATGTTGGCAGACCTGTGAGGTTGTTCTAGTCACAGCGGTGCTTTGACATAAATGCTAATGTTACCATGCAAACCATCTTAGTTTAGCATGTCAGCATGCTAATAATGCTAAATAGCACTAAGGGATTTTTTTTTCATGGCAATCCATCCAATAGATATACTATAGATATTTTAATCTGAATTCCTATATACTACGTAAAGATAGAAAATTAGAATTAAGTGTTTTATATTTAGTCTATTCTCACAAAGGTTATTATAGTTTATTAAAACTAAAAACTAAAACTAGGTCGAAAAAAACATTTGTTTAAACTGTCTTCGGTTTATTGAGACTGGGAGTCCTATTGTCACAAATACTGTTATGTTATAATATAAAAAAAACTAAACTAAAACAAATTAAAAAATAAAATAAAAAGCTATTGAAAAACAGAAAACCATAATAACTAAATGGGGTGAACAGAAAATGTAAATGATCCAAAATGAGTCTACAAGTCTAATTTTCAGATGTAAAAAGGCACCATCAAAATAGAACAAACCAAAACATCTTAAAATATATAACACCAACTATCAACAACCTCTTAGTATAATGCAATAAAATACAACAGCACAAGAGACTAAAGCCTACAAAATGAATATAAAGTTGAATAGAAACTGAAGATAAAGACAGGATTTATTGCTGAACTGTTGTATTAGACTCCATTAGTTTTAGCTTTAGCTTACATAATAGTATATAAATATCATACATTTGGAGAAAATCATCGTAACCTGTTAAATTTGGCAGAAAGTTTCTATATGATTCTATAGACAGAAGTTTGAAATCTCTGTATGAAACACTGACACACACAAGATGCTGAAAAATGTCTCTGAAAGCTAAACTCTAAAGTATAAAAGAGAAACTTCTCTGGTTTTCAAAGGGAAGTTTGAAGCACAAGCTCCTGACCACAAGCCATTCATCACCTCCGGGAGCTAATGACACAGCGTCTCAGCCCAGCGGCATCCTGCCAGCTCTCCGTCACCAGTCTGGCCCTGTTATTAACCCAGCATGCATGGCAGGACGCTCACAGTGACCTCACACAACCTCCCGAGGCGGCCATGATGAAGCTGCAAATGTTCATTCATTATTAAAGAGCAGTGCTCCGGCTCCAAATTACTTTTCAGGGTTGATAAGAGTCAAAAGTGCCTTAAAAATTCAGAACTGTGGCACAATTTTAATGTTAATGTTGAGGTGCTTCTTCTCAGGTGATTATATCATTATTATTATTACAGTATAGTTATAGTTATTTATAGTACATGCAGTGTTAAACTCAGTACTGTTTATTGCATATTATTACTGTTATCCAACCATCACAAACGTGTGTTTTCTCCATGAAATTAGCAGCTATAAACTAATTCTTTGTCCGTTTTATTTTCAAAGAGAGATTATAAGATGGTAGAGCTGAAACATCATGAATCGATTAGTAGATCTATCTATCAATCGAGTCATCATTTTTTAAGCAAAATTGCTATAAAGTTACAGGTTCCAGCTTTTCAAATGCAATTATTTTCAGGTTTTCTTGGATGTTTAAACTGAATATTCCTACATTTGGGACTGTTGGATGGACAAGTGACGAAGTTAACTTGGGCTTTGGGAAATTGTGAGGATTAGCTTTCACTATTTTATGACATTTATAATCGATTTTTCACAAAATCAGAAGACAGAACACAAATGTAGCCCTATAAGTAATAAAAGAAGATAATTTCCTTACATAAAAAGGTTACATCACACCAAAATATCCCGTTACAAGTTACTGCATTGAAGATTTTTCAAAAAATAAATGTCTATTATGCAGAGTGACCCCTGTCAGTGTTATATCATTGGATCATTACTGTTGATGCATTAACATGTAAAAAGTACTTAAATGTTGCAGCTGGTTTATGTGGATCCAATTATAAATACTTTTTTTTATTTTGTAAACTGCTCATATGTTTGCTATATGGACAGTTTCCTTCTGAAATGTAGTAGCAGAAATATAAAGTTGGATAAAATAAAATGTACTTTATTTAAGGTCCAGTGTGTAACATTTAGGAGGATGTTTTCATTAGTGTATAATCACCTGTAGATAAGAATCGTTGTGTTTTTGTTACTTTAGAATGAACCTTTTATATGTTGAACCGCCATGTTTCTACAGTAGCCCCGAACAGACAAACCAAACACTGGCTGTAGATACGGCAACTACCCGCTAGATGCCTCTAAATCCTACACACTGAACCTTTAACGTACAAGTACCTCAAAATTGTACTACACTTTTTACTGCTGCCTCTAAGACAAAATGAGGGATTTTTTTAGGACAGAGAATCTCTTCACAAAGAAGTTGTTTGACGGTCAAACAATAATTGGCATCAGCAATTGGCCACTGACACAGCAAAACTGTACGGTCTGTGTGTGTGTGTGTATGTGCCAACCTCATTCATTTCTGTCAAGATGAAGTTTTAATAAACAGGCATAAGATGGCAGTATGTCTCACTCAACTTCATTAATGGGGCTCAAAAATCAGTCGTCTAAACAGACATACATATATACATGTGCTCAAGGTGGTAAAGAACCTAGTAAATAAAGGAAAAAACACATAACTATGACCAAGGTCAGAACCACAGAAGTGAGCCAAAAGTTAAACAAGCACTAATAAAGTTGATCTTTCTGCATCTGTATATCAAACACATCCCTCGTATGAGTCGGCACAAACACAGCTCACTAACTTGTGTCAAAATTAAATGGCCTTTGTTGATGGCAGAATAATTGTTGTCTGTTTCGTCGCCAGCTGGGTGGACTCCACAGTGCTGGTATCACTATTAGTATTCTTGACAAGAAAACGACTCACAAAAAGCGAGCAGTGGGCCAGGAGGACAGCTGCACACTGTGCTTTCACTTCATACCAACTCCCGTACAAAAGGCCTCGGGGGAAAATTAAAGGACGGGGCACTGGCACACTTGCTTGCTTTTTCTCTTTCCTTTCTCTTCTTTTCAAGGATGGAGAAGGAAGTTTTAAACCACTAAGGAATCGTTCTGGAGCAGGCTTTGTACAAAGGGAACGGCCACATTAAGACACTGCACACTGTTTTAAATGGAAGAACTGTTGTGTAAGTGGGCTACTATATGACTTTGTGCATTCAGATTGATGACAGGAGAGAAAATTCTAGTTGCTGCTGATTATTTTCTGACTTTTTTAGGTCACATGTTTCACTCAAGTGTTTGACCTCGCTGTCACCAGGCACTCTGCGGTTCTGCTCTTTTTAATGAGAGTAAAAGCGAAGACAAGTCAAGCTAAAATCAATGCCACCCACTGCATTTACAGGTCTAGAAACTGCAGACAGTGCATTATCGACAAGCCGAACTAATCCAGTCTCCTCCACAAGCAGTACAGCTGCAGTCTAACATGTTGGTCATCAGTGGTTAAAATAACATTGTCAAGCTCAATTATGAATGCAAGATAGTCAAAAAGGAACATTAAATTAGATGTTGACACCCTTGTCAGTGCTGCACTGACAACAAAAGCTCACTCACTACATCTTGTGGGTGGCCTCTGCAGTACTCTGCATCAAGGTCAGTTCAGGAAAACCCTGTCTCCTCCAAAAAACTGGTAAATGGCTGCTGATCCCAGTTTAGCCAGGTCAGACATAGTTTGACTAATGTAAGTTCTGTACAGTGCTGAGCTGGAAAGTGTATAAAGGCATTTCCTTGTATTGGCCAACTTGGAGCCAAAACCTCATCAAACAGGAGATTTAAGACTTAAGGATCTGGGGTGTTGAGATCAATAGCAAGTTACTTATAGTAAGATCTTATTAGCTAATTATGTTTCAACATAAAGTATATATCTTCATCAGAGTAAGAAGAGGAAGTGGCAGTTTAGACATTTAAATTACCAGATAATTCAATTTAATTTATTTGCATAGCGGAAAATAAGAACAGACGTTATCTCAGGAAACTTTTTATATAGAGACAATAGATCGTACTCCTTATAAAAAAATTGTTTTTGCATTTATTTCTAGTTTAGTGTGGTGAGTTTGGAGAGAGCATAGATGGATATAATGGCTTCAGTTTCCCGTTGGAAAGGGCTTTGTGACAGCAATATTCTAAATATAGTGTACACTTAAACTGATATAGATTTTTTTAGGTGGGCCTTTTTAAAATATGTTTAGTTGCTTCGCCTACCTACAGCAGTACACTGCTTAGCTCATGTGCTGGTCTCCTGTGTGTTTCTCCAAACTGGTGGTGTGCAGACTGCTGTCTACTGTAGGTAATAAATTGGATATGGATAAGTAAGTCTTTAAAAATTGGTCTTCATTATGTCATAATTTGTCAAATTGTAGCATTTGTATCTTCAATCTAATGCTGCTTTTTCTCTATGGCTGAATGATAAAAGCATTCTCTATCAGAAACAATCACATTTCTATTCAATAAGCAGAGGTTAGCAATTTTCCCTTATCTGATTTAAAGTGTATAAAGATTTATAAAGACAGATTCAAGGCTCCCACAAAGATAAGTTCTTGCTTCAACCCTAATTTATCTCTGTAGAAACCAAACACAAAAGACCAGATCCCACAGTTTCTTCATCTATGCTGATGACACCTTCCTGGTAACCAGACTTTGAATCCTTGGAGCAAATTATCACCACAGACTCATACTGCAAAATCTTGCACCCAACACCAGAAAAAGTCACCCGTAAAATACTTATATTCAACACAGAAGCTGCGTAAGAACATCCAGCTAAGTCTCCATATAACTCGAACTGAATCTTGACAGGATGCTGTCTTTTAGAGGAAGATGCCCTAAACTTCATTTTAGCAAGGTCTGTTAACTTGCAGGCTCCAGATGGTGCACAGCCATCTCCACAGTGTGTATCTCAGTGCCAGCCATTGTACTCTATGCCAAAGAGTAGAGTAAGTTGATCTGAATTTACCTAACAGGGGCTATTCACTGAACACCACCCCTCTGGCTCCCTGCACCATCAAATATAACACATCCACATATCCCCCCCCCCACCAAACCCCACCCAGTAAACAGACATCTCCTATAAACCCACTGTCTGACTCCCAACAAGATGGCTACTTTGGAAAAGTCACCCACCATTCGACTCACCACCCAGTGTGCCTGGGAAAGAGGAGGATGTTTCAAATAAACACCTGACCTCAGACCTGACTCAACAAGTTCCTGGACCGACCACAAGTCTGTCAGCCTTCAAAGACCAAGCAAATACACTTTTCAACAGCTAAAGAAAGGATTTTTCATTAACCAAATAAATATGTAGATCAACAAATCAACAAAGCCCTAAATTGCCACAAATTAGGAGATATATAGTATGCTGCAACTCTTACAGAATGTATTTCTTATATATAAACAACCTCTGTGACCACCTCACACTTTTTTGTTTTGTTATGTTTTGTTATAGAATGTGTTTTAAGTCTAACCCCATCTTATTTTTTTTATTTGAAACCCCATATTGTACTGCATGTTCATGGTCTTACAAGCTTTGGCTCATGAGTTTCTGTTCTGCTCCAAAGGCTAAAAAACACAAAGAAAAGAATCAACCATTTTTCATAAGGATCTATAAACCTCATAATAATCTGTATGAGTAAAACAACAACAGACAACGTACCATCTGTATCTTCTCTTGGACTCGTTTTTGCGATTGCAGTATTTTTTCACATAGATCCTCTGAGACTGTAATTTAACATTTGAATTGAGTTGCTCTACCTGATATTTACTGTCCTGAGTTGCCATTTCTTCTATCATTCATTTAGAATATTTAAATTGCTTAAATTATGTTGCAGGGAACAATGCAGAAGCAACTCATGTTCAATAAGGACTCTGGTTTCAGCCACTTCTTCAGCTTCCTAATCATCGTACAAGCAACCAGCACTTTAAAAAGGTTACCCAAGACATTTTTACAAATTAAAGTATGTTTTCAATTAACTTACTGTAAGCCATCACTTGGTGTAAATGTTTCCATAACATATAATTCAATTAATTTCTGTTTATTTTAAAAATTAATCCTAATCATTGTGTTAAATTTGACACCAAACTGTGGTGGCAGCTGGGTTGCCCAGGGAATTTTTAGGGTTGGCAGCTGCCACCCGTCTAGATCCGCCCCCTGGGCACACCCTCTCAGCCAAAATGTGCCTCTATAGACAACCAATATTAAAACTGAGGTTAAAGGACTAAAATTTGGGTCTGTAGAAATATAGAAAATCATAAAGAGACATTTTATTGTGCACCTGATGGTTGAGCATCAACTCTCAACTACCAAATTCAAGATTTAAAAATAACAATTTTGTAAACGTTTGATGAAATGACCGGAGAACTACATGAGTGCACTGAGTTTTAGTTGCTCCGCTTAATGTCAGACCACTGGTCCATCAAATGAAAGAGAAATATCCTTAGAGGACATTTAATTCTTCAGTTTGCTCTCTCTCTCTCTCTGTCTCTCTACCTTTCCATTAATGAAGTGCACCTGAGCCCTTAGGTGGAGAAAATGCTCAGAAGAGACAAAGTGTGCACTTAAGACAAAAAGAAGCTCCACGTGTCCCCTGCAGGTCACAGGAACAACATTTTAAAGCTTAAATCCTCAGCATCATTGCTTTAATCCCAGAAAAAATAACATCTAAATAAAAAAAATAATTTAGCAGTTGACTGGATCACATTAGGGTTGTTTTTTATAAATGCAGAGAAAAGTGAGTCAGTTTTAAGTAGCTGTCGCCGTTTTTTATTCAGTTTAATAGGAATTTTCATGCTCACAGGTGTGAAAAATCATTACAATGCTTCACAATCATTTAACAATCATGAGAAGGTGAAAGAGGCAAAAGCTGTTCAGAAACAACCAGCTACATGCTCTGCTAAATCACAGTGGGGGGTTTCATGCTGTGCAAGATACCCACAAGGAAAAAAGCACACACAGCCAATTACAAAAAAGTTATACTTAACTAAGTGCGTCAGTTCCTTAAAAATACATTTTCTGGGGAGAAAGGGAACTAGTGGCCACAGTTTCAGGACCTCCTCTGAGGACAGCAACTGTTGTAATGCAATTAACTGGTAAAGATGGTAATTTTCTTAAATGGCACAGTAATTTAACATGACATTATAAATTTAAACGAACTTCGACCAAAACCGCATCGACTGCGTACTACCAACAAAACATCCCAACATAAACAAAAACCTACCGGTTTCTGCTCAGCAGCATTTCAGCTGATGCAGGATGGACTGACTTCTTGGCTGTAAAAAGTATTTTCCGTCAGCTCCTCTCAGCTTGGTGCAGTGCGACTGTCCTGTTGGGAGGAAAGCGGCTCTAGATGCTCTGCGCAGGTATGAGGGAGCTGGGACTGCTGTCCGACCGACTCCGAGGCTTGGAGAGAAAAGGAGGGAGTTGAGAGAAAGTGAAGCCAGATATGAAATCCTGAACTGCCCACTTTTTCCCCCAACAATCGGGATGGAGATGGCGCATGCCTGTCAAGGGGCACTGGGAGGGATGACATCTAAAATAACCGATGTTATAGGCTATGAAGCGAAGCCTGCACTCAGGAGATGACCTATATGTGTATATTTCCCTGCAGGGAAACGACAAATGCATTGAGCGTCATTTGGAGAAAGCAGGGTGAGTTGAGTCAGCAGCCAGCTGCTGATGCTGCTGCAGGTACTGATTGCAGCACAGTCACCTACTGTAGAAGGAGGAGGGTGGGGGAGCCGACAGTAACACCTCTTCTACATCCATTAAGTGGACTATTGGTCTTCTTAAATCACCTTGAAGAACTTTGCATGTATCACTACTGGAGGAGTGATCAGTTTGTAGCATCCTGCAGAGGAACAGTCTTTGTGTGACAGACCACAGCAGCAGCTGCTCAGCCATTTACAACTTCAATCTGCAGGGTGTGTTTAACAACAGCATTTGATTTGAGACCAATAAACTCAATGCAGTATGTCAAAATATAGCAGTGGTGGAATGTAACTATACATTTACTTATGTAGCCTACAAATCCAGGTAGTAGTAGCCTACTTTACTTGAGCGTTTCCATTTAATGCAACTTTATACTTCTACTCCACTACTTCTCAGAGGCAAATATTGTACTTTTTATTACTTTTAGTTACTAGTTACTTTTCAGATTACAATTGAATGTGAGAGTTTCTGATAAACTGAAAGTATTCCTTTATGGGTTGAGAGAATTCTCCCACTAAGATAAATAAACTAGAAACCCTTTTGGATTAGCTGGACAATACATTGTCACAAAGCTGAAACAGGCTGTTTTGATGAGCTGTTAGAATATGATGCATTGCTGTAGATTGAACTACCTAACAGTATATAAAGTAGTTAAATGAGCTCAACCTTAAGCATCTACAGCAGTGAAATGAAACATACATATTAATGCAGCAGTAGTATTAATCCCATGTATATTAGTAAAACACTGACTGGGAGCATTTCACTTTAGAATGAGTACTTTTACTTTTGATCCTTAAAGCACCTGCAGGAAACTTTCATTTTGTGTTGATGGCGGCCCCTGTGGACAAAAGCGGTTGTGTTTTCACCGCCTCTTTACATCGCTTCCATCCTTTTCAAGGGAAATCCAACCTGGTGGCAGGCACTGAGAATAACTATATAGATATAGCCAATCTTCTCACTGATGGCTTTGTATGTTTGTGTAGGTCAAATAGAGGCATCAGTATCAAATTGATTTCATAGCAAGTTAAGAACTGCAGGACTTTTACTTGTATTGAGTATTTTTACAGTGTGACATTACTACTTTTACTTGAGTAAAGGATATGAACACTTCTTCCACCACTGCAGTGAGTCGTCAGTAACTGCAGCTAATCCAGATAAGGCTATAAAGGTAAAAAACAACAACATTCCCCCCAAAAAAGTCTAAAATATATTCATTTACCAGCACAAAATGAATTTCAATGCAGCATAAAAACAGAAATACTGCACCCATTATCTTTTAAACTATTGTTAATTACTCGTTTAGTGAATGAACGAACTCAGATGGTTAATATAAATGCTGCTGAAGAGCAATAAAGCATGCATTTGTGGTCCTGTCCACAACTGGATTAACACGCACGGAGAACCAAAGCAAAAATGAGTTGCAGGTTCCTTTGACCACATCTCTACCCCACCCACCAACCATCGTTTCTCAATGTCATCTTCAAGTATACACACCAACCACAAATGGGGGTAATGATGCACACTTTCAGACAGTTTCTCCTGGAGGGCATTCATGGTGACGCACTTGTTTGTCTAAACAAGAAGCGACGGAAGTAGTTTGAAGAATAAAAAAAAACGGTGAGAAAATTCAAATCCTGCCTGTCTCACCTCCGCACACCTGGCAAACTGCTGCTGGAAGTGAGTTCAGATGCTGTTCAACAATCTGACAAGCACTTTGTTCAAAGCATATTGACACCTTCACCCTTTCAGGTGTGGATGTGGAGCAGGTGCCCGCTTTGCCCAGTCAGACAGAGTGAATGGTGCTTTGTACTGTTTGTCCTGTGGCTCGGGCAGCAGGGTTTGATGCTTCACACCTGAGGAATCTGACACCCAGATACCAACAGGACTGTCTGGCAAGGAAATGTCAAAGCTCAGAGAGCAGACAAAGATCAGAGGTGTGCTTTATGGTCCAGCTTTGACTGACTGTCACACTGACCCAGATTATGTCCAGTCAGCAGTTTGGCGGACTGTAAGACGTCATCCTCTCTGCTGCCATCTGTCTTCAATCACAGGGTGGTAAAGTGAAAAGGAAGGCCTTCCCTAAAGCAGAAACTGCACTGATAAAAAGAGTCAGTCCAGGAGAGGCTGTCTTCAACAACCTCCATCAACCTCATCAGGAGTACTGGTTCACAGCTGCTCCTGACATCTGACCTTTGACCTGACTGTAGAATGGGGAAAGAGAATATCTCGCTGACGAAGATCTTGTGATGAGATAGAAAGCTGCAGCACAACAACTAAATGGATCTTTTTTCATCTTCGAATTCATCTGCAAAAAGCAAGCTGAAGTAAAAACCAGAACTGGTTTCGTTCAAACATCATTTAAGATAGGTATTTAAAAAAAAAAAAAAAATCTAATATCATTGTTTATTTAATATCTATGGTTTATAGTGGCTGTTAACAAACATCATTTTCCAAGCTCCAGATAAAAATGTCACAGCTCGACTGAAGAGACGAGTCCATGGGGCGTCCGCGGTTAGCTCAGACATCGGGACAACAGACACTGTAAAGGTTTTTAGACAGCATAGATTACAACTACAAAACTGGGAGAAAATGACTTTATAGACTTTTTAGTGTTGGAGAGTTTTATGGATATGGACGTAACTGAGTGATGATGCGGCAAATGTTGAATGAGAGATTGCATTTAATAAAAGAAGCTAGTGGAACAAAGGAGTCACTTAAGCTTTCTATAAAACACATTTTTGCATTCAAGTTTAATACACCCCACTTGGCTTATGGCAACTAATGTTAGCAAACTTTAGATGGATATTTCTGTATAAATGACATTTCTGCATCAGTTGGCTGTCTTTGCAGCTCCTCTCTGGAGCAGGTCACCTATGATGTCTTTAAAGCAACTGACTCGAGAATGTTGAGAAAAGGAAATTCAGAGTGCCGTTATCCTGTAATTACCTCTTGTGGCCACACTGGCTGCTTTAGCCAAAGTTACATAGACTCAGTTTGGGCCAACATGAAAGAGAAGTCTCAAAAAAAAAAAAAAGTAAATCTGAACATCTGCAATTTCATGACAACTGGGCAAACCTCAACTGCTGATGAAGATCTTTCTGATATGACTGAAAGCTTTAGCCTTGCTGTCCATTCCCAGCCCTCCGTACTGCTTCTTCTGGCCATCGACACGAAGTCAAGATATAATCCAACACGCAAGATTATTTTTTATTTTTTCATAGTTGTTTCATATCAGTTTAAACTACTCCTTCATACAATTAAAATAAAAACACAATTGTATTTTTACAAATTTAGTTTGTTCATAAATTAATAGCAAAGGTGTCTGCAAATGGCTGATAAGAAGAGAGCGGGGCAACAAAGATGATATAAAATTATGATATAAAAATGTATAGAAAGTGCTGTCAGCATTTGTTTGTTATGTAAGATGTTAGTAATGGAAATATTTTCAGAATATTGCGTTTTCTTGTAGTACTTGAATGTTGAAGTGGCCCTCCTATGAGATCAGCAGTGGCCCCAAGCCAATTTGAGCATGAGACCCCTGGAGTAAGGGATAAGTAATACTGGCCCCAATACTTCCCGTCTGTGGGCCAGTGACGACTGCAAAATCTGCAGCTCTTCTGTGGCTGATGTTAATTTCATACTGATCCTCACTCACTGAAGACAAGCAGCACAAGTTAAGTGACAATGTGCAGATGCTACTGGCCAATTTTTGGTTGAACTAAATGTGCAAGAGTAGTCTTGACACTGTTTATAACACCCCTTTGCTGGATGGGTCTCTTTACATAAAAAAAAAAATTGGGCATAAATTGAGAATATACTGTTCTCACTCACACTTTTATCTTTATTGTTGTCCAAGTAAATACGTGAGAATTTATCCTCAAACAACATTTTCACTCGTCATTCTTTATAAATACTAATGGAAAAATATTTTACTGTTTGCTTAACATTTCGACTACAGGATCATTTCCAGTATGACACATAGATAAGTTTCTGCCAACCACAGATACATGTGTTTTAATTTTTGGTATAGTCTTACAAATTACATCTTTGAAATATCTTGAAAACCTCATACTAATTTTAGTATTTTAGCTTTTTTTCCTGTTAACTCTGCAAATTAAGTGAATTAATTAAACTGAACATAAAAACTCATAAATCAAATCTGGATGAGGGAATTAAAGTCCAAAAGAAAAGGTAAGAGCAGTGTTTTACCTTCCCCTTTCAGCTACTTATTGTGACATATTGAGGTCACATACAAGAATCCACTGAGAGCAACTAAATTAGACCGAACATAGTTAAACATGCATGCAAGCCATGCCTCAGACCTGCATACAAGCTAACGTTACATTTTCCAGCAGCCCTTCAAACAACCAGCCTATAATTAGACACTATCATTATATTGTAGCTGAGCTTAGATCATCAAGTGAGTCAAGGGCAACACTCAAATTTAGTTTTAAAGTGTCTTCAGATGTTCTGGAGATGTTCAAGCAATCACAAATCACTCTGTTTCTGAAAAGGAGATTATAATGTCACTGAAGAAGATGAGTTTCTGAAATCTTTATTTCTTTTTTAAACAAAAATCTGCACAAATTTGCAAATAGTCCATGAGGTAAAGAAAGAGATAGTACTAAGTGAGTTATTTGAAACAAATTAGGCCACTTTTAAAAGGACACACTGTTATCTTAGATGAACAAACAATAGCACTTTTGTTAGTGAATTTACTCTGACACGTACAACCTACACCACCAGGTGGGATTCATTAGTGTATGTGGCTGAGAAGCAAATGTGACTCAGCTAAAATACAAAGCCTGCAGTTTATTTTTATGTATTCTTAATTCTGCTTGAGTCATGTTTAGTGGTTTCAATTAACTGGGTTACCAGAACTGCTGTCAACTCACCACAAAGTAGAAATTACAAGTTTGGGCCTTAAAACTCATTCTACACTGCACAAGTTAAGACGGACATAAATCAGTATTTTGAGTGTGTCAATGGAAAAAATCAAGACAAATGAAGCAATACAAAGGTTCTACTTCACCAACATTACACTTCACCTTGCTGTAATCCCAGACTGAAATCAATACAACGCTCATGCAACGACAAGAAAGACAACCAGCCTTTTAATCATTTTTCCTCCCATAAAAGCAAAACCTCAAAACCCTGTTTCCGCTGACTGGCTGCTTTTATTCCCTCTTGGATGCAAAGTGGCAGAGGCAAACCGGTTCAGGAGGGACGAGTCTGGGAAAACTGTTGCGCTCATCCACTCACCAGCCAAACCAACGATTTGCCATGCTTTCTGCATGATGTTACTGCACTGACCAGAAATTAGGGTACAGAGAGCCACTGTGAGATTTTGACGCATTTATATTATCTGTGACACATCGTTTTTTTTGTGTGTCACTCCTAGGCAACAATGTTAGTTGCTTCCACAGCTGGAGATCTGGCAGCAAGTTAACTTAGTCATTCGGTAAATCAAAACTGGTGGTTAACCAGCAGGGAAAAAGAGACTTCATACACTTCATAGGCCACCTCCCTCATATATAACAGATAAATGTACAACTGAGGGTGAGCTTAAAAAGAAGACTGGGCTTCCCTTTGATAGATACACATAAAACTGGATATTTATAGCAATAAAAGGCTATTTTAGGTGATTTATTTATGGAGTGTTGCTGTAAAGGGTGGCAGCCCTTAAAAGTTTAAAACACTATTTAATCAATTTATATGAGCAAGATTATAGAAATACTGAGGTCATGAGTGCAACCCTGCTTGTCAGTGACCAGACACCAAAAAAAGCCTGCAAAAACTTTTCTATTTAACTGTACCTTATATATTCAGTACATGTTTGCAGGGTGCCTACAGGATGTAGAAAAATACTGAATCTATTTATTATAGATAACAGTCAGAAATGTAGTTATATTAGTCGTGAAATCTCCAAACTCCCAGACACAATATAGATGATATGACTTCTGGTTTATGGTTCACTTTAAGGCTTACTAGTACATTTGAACATAACAGAGCTATTTTCAGTGTTATTAGTAACACCTGTGCATTTCAGTAAGTAACTGAAGCTAATAAAACATTTTAACCTTGGTAACTGAACTTTGCAGTTCACATCAGGAACCAGAGGATTCTTTTGGTTGGTCTAAAGGTGTTTGAGATCCTGAATATGTATAACTTTAAAGTTGTGGGAGGAGAGAACGGCTTAAGTGAATAAATAATATTCTATCTTTCTCCACGAGCTGCTGTATATAAAATGTCTCTTAACGTTTCAATAGATGTGTTAGCAGGGAAAGCTCAACTGTAACTAATAACATTAACAATTTGCTCTGTTCCACTGAGGTATCTCAGTAAGTCAGTGAGTCAACAAGCACAATACCGGGAAACAGCTCATATAAATGGAATCCAGCCATCATTACTTTTACTGTTTTCACTGCGTTTCCTGCTTAAAGTTCATGTCTGCTGTGAAAAAGTTGGGTAGCTAACTCAGATCCTAATTCACATTTCTATCAATATATCAATTGATTCAAATCCAATTAAATATATACTTAACATATATCCAAATGTACATCTTTTTAACACATTAATGCTTGCTTTCAATATTCTTAAATGTAAGCTTAATTTCACTTTACTTTGCAGGATGTGTATACAAGGAGAAAGGCATGAGTGTTATAAAATGCTTTGAAAATTAGATTCTTTGCTTGGGTTAAAACTGGGATTGATTTTGGGAGAATTAACTGGCTTTATAGGTCACTTATAGAAGAGCTATACATCAAACTAAGCAAGATTGTGAATAAAGACATGTAAAATGAAAAAAAAAAAAAAAGCTAGGTTGCAAAAGTGAACAGGAAACTGAAATATTTCTAAATATAGTGATTTTTGCTATAAAGTCTGACATTATGAATGTTTTTCTTAGTTTAACAAACTTACTTCATCAGATAAATTCAAGGGTGAGGTAATTTTTGAAACCTGATGCAAAACCAGTCACACATCACAGGAATAACACGCAGAGCCAGTGTATAAAAAGTCAAATGAGGTGAGTGAAAACTTTGTTGAAACTATCCAGTCTGTGTAGTCTCCTCCTATGCCATTTCCTTCTCCACACTGTTTCCCAGACACGTTGGAAAGAGAGACTCATTTGTCTAAAGGCTTTGGAGAGCAGCATGTCTGGGCTTTTGTAAAATAATATGACTATTTTCAGCCTTATGAATAAACCAAACAGGCTGCAACGGTTACCATTATTAATCCTGCCAATAGCAAGAATAATTTTCCAATCATGCAGACTGCACAGTATATACGAACCATTCAACAACACAAAATGTGAAGTGATTTATTATCACTGGGAAGGAGGCTACTGTTTTCACCACTGTTCTCATAATGTCAACACTGATACAAGCTTACTCAACATGGTCATGTTAGCTGAAATGCTGTTTTTATAAGTTTCTTCTTATCTACTTAATAATGTTTTCAAGTATTTGCTTGGTGTGGGAAAATTTGCTAAACATTTTCCTCCCAGATGACTGTATATTGATGCTGATTTTTCACAGCAAAACCTTTTAAGTTTTGGAAAAATAAACCTGCATTAATACATTTTGTCTTGTCACTTGTAGGCTGAAACAGACTAAAACACTCCACTGAGCTGAAATGAACCTCACAGTCTGATAATAATTCCCTCCACATTAGTCATCACTGTTGATATAAAATATTGATAAGAGCAGCTTTAACATTCAAGTTTAGAAAATTAAAAAAATGTATGGCTCTCGTGCTTGTAAATTACTGGAGACCAAAAGTCTTTTAAAATTTAAATTAAAGTATATTTTAAGTTTAAAAGTGTTTATGTCTTACCTTGTGGTTTAATAGTATTATTGTTAGAGAATATAATAAGATCATCTACTGAAACATTTAGTTAACTCCAATACACATCAAAGTTCAAGCCATTATATTGGTTTATGTGTGACATTTAATAACCCTTACAAAGAAAGGGACATAATACAAACTCTGATAGCACCGTAAATAGAGGATGATTGAAACCCATTCAGGAAACATTGTTTCAGGTCTGTTATCAACTTTGTTTGCACATCTGTTTCACCGCCTCATATTTACACAAAGCTATCATTTCCTCAATAATATGTATGTTGCGCCAGTATTTTACAGTCCATAAGCCTTACTCATGTCATCCTCACGCGGTCTCTTTTTAACATGTTATTCTGCTCGACTCCCACCACAACATGGTGACTTCAGAGGCCCAGTGAAAACTGGATAGCACAACGAGGCCTGAGTGTCTCTGATTTCTCTGGTCAGTACCAGTAAGACCTTCGGTTCCTCCTGGGTTCCTGGATGCCCATTTTCTCCATGACTTCCTCCTCCAGAGTTTTCAGTGATGGTACAAAGGTCTTTTCTAGAGTGTCTTCTGGACTAGTGTCTTTGGGACCGTCTGTGAGGGCAGAAATAAAAGCTAGTCATGTTCCAAAATATATTCAACTTGAATACCAAAAAGCAAAGACTTTGATAGACAAACCAACAGAAAGTAAAATATTTAACATAAAAAAGGAATGATGTCTTGGAGGGCTGTTCAGCATTTGTAAAGGATTGCACTCTTCACATGTCTTCTAGTTTATAAAGAAATACTTTTTCCACTGTAAAGCGATCAAACTGAATCACTCTGACCTAACATCACCTAAACCTATTTTTGGAATTCAAGTCTGCAAAGGGTGGAAACATTAAAGACAGCTGGTCTGAACAGCCTCAGACAAAAGACTGAAGATGTGTGTGGAGGTGAGATAGTATGCAGAATTTAAATTTCTCCCTCAAGCTTTGGTCCGTTCTTCAAACTGAATCACTTTGAAAACAAACAGTCCAAAAGTGTGCTACCATTTTCCCTGTTTGAACAATTCAACACGTCTCGGCCCTCTCTTTCTCTTAATGTGGCGTTTGTAAAACCTGTAAACACCTTTGCTTTCAGATGTGGTCAGACGACACGTCGTATAAACAAGTTAGTTTCGAGCATTCCCCCGAGAGTACAATTAAGTTTGAAGGCTGTTCAACATTGGTAAAGGTTAACACTTCCCATGTGTCTTATAGTTTAGAAAGAAATGTGTTTCTTCCACTATAAAACAATCAAACTGCATCACTCAGAAATTTACTTTTAGTATTCAAGTCTGCACATGGTGGAAATATGAAGGACAGCCAGTTTTATGTGCTGACTCTTAACTACTCATGGAATAAACTGGTTACTGAGAAGAATCCCCCTCCAGACAAAACACACACAGACACCCTCACCTTTCCACTGCTGTGGCACGATACCATCTCGTCGCTCCACAACAGGTTTTGGAATGATTCGACCTGTCCTGAGAGACACTCGGACTCTCTCGCCCTCCTCTGTGAATTTCCACTCCACCTCAGTGGGTTTCCTGGAGGATCAATATCAGCATGTCATCAAAGTAGTTTATAGATTGTTAACCTGCTAACCTTCGTTGTTTCAGCTATTGTTAAGGTCGTGAGGTGGGTGTGCATGTGCATAGCCACAAGGTTTACTGTACCTGTCTGTGGGATCAATGAGGGAGACTTCTCGAACCAAAATGGGAGCCTCGCTGGCTAAGTAGGTACCACGGTAATCTCCAGTTTTTCCAATATACCTGTGATGCTAAGACAGAGAACAATTGTTCACAACCAACCAAACAGGTGGTGGCCAAATAGCTTATTGTGGTGCAGCAGTTGGACGCTAAGCCCAGACACTGGCTCCATCTGGTGGAGCTAAAAAATAAAAATAAAAATCTTTTTACTTTTACTTTTTGGAGAAACGAGTAGACTGCCAGTGTTTTTATTGAGTTTTGTTTGTATGTACTTGAAGTAAAAGAACAATAACAATAAAAAAGGTTAAAACTAAGATGTACTAAAGTATCATATCACACGACATTGTTAGGCTACATTCATTAAGCTACACTGAGCTCTTTAATTCATTTCTATCTTTTTCTATGACACACTCTGTATTGAGTGTTTTATCAAGGTGATAATTCAGGGTGCTTTAACAGTGCTCTCTCCCTGCCTCTCGGCACATGAAGAGCTGTTTGGAGGTGGAAGCACCACATCAGTGCCCATGTTAACCTTTGGGATGTTCAGACAGAGCGCACTGCCTGGCAATCTGCAGCAATCTGGCATTCGTTCTACTTTTCATGTGAGCTAATCTGGCAAGAAAACACACTGATAATCTATTATAAATTATATGAATTATATATTATGTAAAGAGCTGATAACAGTTGAAACTTTATCTAATCTTCCTGCTAGACGACAACAGTGACTGGATCAAACATTGTAGAATTAGTGGGTATAGGCGATATATAACTAGATGTCCTACAACCAAAATCTAACATTTCCATCTTCCTTACTGTGTTCAGCCCCTCCAGGATAACCCAGTTTCTGTGTCTGAAGACTTGGATCACTTTTCCTTGCTTTCCTTTGTCCTTTCCAGCGAGAATCTCAACCTAAGAAACAAATGAAAATACATAAAATAAGTTGTACAGACACTCTTTTTTTGTGTTAGTTTTACAGTACGTGTGATTCTGATGTATATTTGAGTATATTACCTTTTATGATAATAGCATAGTTGTGGTGACACCAAAATCATTGTATTACCAATGAGGGAAAAACTGACATATCAATCATTTAAAATATTTAATTAAAACTGGCTTAGCATTTAAAACTTTGGTAATGTGGAAGAAACTCGATGTGAGCTTGGAAATGTACTAATGTGGTCAATTTTGTAAAAGATAATTAATTTTAGAGAGTTAAATAAGCTGTACTTTATTGTTGTGGCTGGTTCAAGTGGTAGAAAAAATATCTGACAGCTGTATAAGTGCTGGTTGCTTCCTGAAAATGTACACTAAGGTGTTGTACATGATTGAAACATGACATGATACATGAGGTGTATATGAACATACTTACACAAGACTTTAAACTACACGTAAGTTTTGACCTGGTAGAGGACTGGCATATTCACACATCTTGAACACAGTTAAAATAAGTGTTCTCAGTTATCTAAAAAACACTTTCAAACAGCGCTAAAGGAAAACAACTTGCACATGTATCATCAAGACTTGGGACTTGACTCCTGCACTGGCTGGTACAGGGACCAACGCTCGGTCTATTAGACCCGATACTAAAGGGAAGCGGTCTAAATGCCCACCAGATCTCACGGTGCAGAATAGCAATTTATCACTAGATGCAGGGTAATGCTGCGACACTGGAAAACGAAAGGGGATATCAGCAGTGAAGGAATCTCCAGATTTCCTCCTGTGAAAGACTACGTTATAAGCTGATAGACGGACGAGATATCTTCATGAAAATGTGGGGCCTTTATCTACGGAGACATGATGTGCTGAAGAGTTGCACCCATTCAATGTGATGTTCTTTATGATATGTTTAATTTGAGGTACCGTTTAGTTTAATTTACATTATCTGATGTATTAGTTCATCTATATAAAACACTCTGTCTCTGTTATATTCCTTCACCCTTGTTTCTTGTTCTGTCCTGGGTTTTGATGTATGATGCACACTTTATTGGCTTTGTATATATGCTTTTAATTTTGAAAAACAAATTAAAAAAAAGAAAAGAAAACGACTTTACTAAAAACACTTGATTTGTGCTGGTACTGGTGCAGTTACTCACTGTGTCCCCTTTGAACACAGACCAGTCCTGTGGCGCTAAAGGCTCCACAAACACCTTCCTCCTCCTGCTCTGCCCCGGAGGATTCTGCTTCTTCGCAGCCGGCGTCCACGGTCTGTTTGTGGTGTAGCGGTAACCTTTAGGCACCACGACCCTGGCTGCCATCGACAGGAGAGCGGTCAGCCTCATTGTGCTGCAAGGGACGACACGAACCGAGACAACACAAGCTATGTTAACGTCAGCTTCACGTTGCGTTGCAGCGGCGAAACAAAGTTACTGAGTTAAACTCGGTGCTATAATTCCAGCTGTATTTTTAAATAAACACGTTGCTAAAGCGTTGTTATAACAAAATACATAAATAAAACGAGTTAAGTTAGTCACAAAACATGCAGAAATATCTTACCCTCTGTTGATGTCAATGTCACATGTAGCGCCGCCGACCGCAACTCTCGCATCAAGAGGCAGCGCCCCCTAGTGGACAGGAGGGTGGGGTTGGCTGTGCGCATGCGCAGTGGATAAACGATGCATCACACTGGTGGACAGCAGAGATGAGGGATTGATTTGTGGGCAGGGTGCATGCTAACAGAAAAGATGACCTTCAGTGTGCTTTAGCTGCGTACTTTTACTGGATTCAAACCACAAACTATTTATAGGAAGTCGAAAATGAAACAATAGGGGAAAAAAAGATCACTTCTACATGATACAGCAGTATTTTACAGCTGACTTGGTTCAGTTTAAATGTGCAAAAGTCTGAATGCGAAGAGCCAAACTGACTTGCTAAATTAATTTTACCGTTAAGAACAAAACACTGTCCTTATATACAAGGTATGAAGTCATGTTCATGTTCAGTCCTCACAGTACAACCTTATATCAGCTCAAATCTCATTGTTTATCAGTGTACAGATCACTGAATCAATGAAGCATGTGTTTACAAGTGTCCTTATCCTTATTTGGAAAATATCACAGAGATGAGCAGTATTATGACATTGTATTTACCAGAAAAACAATGTATTGAGTGTCTGTCTCACAAGTGTAAACAGTGATAATGTTACATGCTTTCCTACATTACAGTATTATTATAGTATTACTGTATTTTAACATATTGTTGTAACGGACAAGATCACAATCATCATTTTACAATATAACATAAAGTCTGACTCATTATATTTACGATATTACAACATATTCAGTAAATAAAAATGAAATCTCACTCTACAGTACATTAAACACTGACTTTTGCTGAATTTCTGCTTGTATAATTTGTGATGAATTGATGGTTGCCTACTCTGTGTTGATGAGAATAAGTTACTGTTTGACCTCAGCATTTAATAATGACCATCCTCTTCGAAAATGCAACAATAATGTGTCATTTACAACATTATGAGAGCAAAATATTAAAGATGTCATAGTATATTTTGAATGTAAACATTTCATAGAATTGTTAATGGGGAAAAATTATTTACAAATGTCCTTTTTTCTATATAAATACCCAGAGTTACTATTTTCTTTAAGGACTTTTTTGCGATAGATTTACAGAAAAACAATTATCTACTCAATTAAATGTTATAATTCTTCTTTCGTTGCCTATTTGTTTTGTTTTTTAAACATTTTCAAGATAAATATAATGGAAATATGTTTTGATTTTCATGCTCATGTGCAATCTAACTGTGATATCCTGTTTGGGTTTAGGATGTTTTGTCTAAGTGTTGAGTGAAAACTGAATGTGTTTACCTCTACAGCTCATTCATCTGTGAACTCTGGATTGGTTGGTTGTTAAAATAGGCCCTTATTTCATGTTGGTATCACCCATAGAGGCAGATACAGTGAGTTATTACAAGCAATACTGTGGTGTTACTGTGACAAGGTATTATAGCTATTTATAGCACCCATATACCACAAGACAAGAAAACCTGCAATCGTACATGTAAGTGGTCATTAATCTTGTGAACCAGCTGTACCAGCTGCCACCGAGGACATTTACAAATCAATGCTTTGAAAAGGCGTTAGTCCAGCACCCCATGGATATTATGAAAAGGTCAAATGAACATGGATTCAAAGCATTATGTCTCCATACAAACAACGTATTTAAAGAACTCACACTCAACCAAACCCCATGACAAATTCAAAGCTGTCAGAACATGTTACATAACACCAAAACTAGTTCAGCTATCGTAGCCTAAAGCCCCAAACTGTGCCGCGAGGTCCTCTTGGGAGCAAATTATTTGTGACAAGTGTGCACACACACACACACACACACACACACACACACAAAAAAGGTGCCATAGTTAGTTTCATACATTTGTAAGAGTGAAAAATGAGATGTGAAATGATTAATGAGGTCTGGTTGGTTTGAAAAGTAGCAGTAAAAATCCCCCTTGCTTGAAACTTCACTTGTGAACAAGATATTCTGCACAATACCTGGTGTGGGAGGTACTCTATGACTCAAAAGGATGATTAAAAAAAAAAAAAAAAAAGTAATTGCAGACAATCCTGCTGGTTGATTTAGGTGCTTTCCAGACTGAGGAAGTGGATAATCTACAATAAACACATACGGTTTACTGCATATAAACATGACAAAAAATATTTTTTTGTAATCGACATGTTTATTAAATGGACTGGCAACTACAACAGTAAACTAAGCAGCAGATTAAGATGAATGACAGCTTCCAAAAGTAACAAGAGAAAGCTAAACCAAGAATTACACTTTAATGCCAAATTATACCCATGGAAGTAACTCAACTTTGAACATTTTATAGTTTGAAATCTGTGGTGTGGTGTATGTGGGTATAAGCCATCTTAGACACAGCAGTCATTGTTATTTTTACTTTTAAAAGCTGAGATTTCCCTTAGGTTCATCATTTTGATGATTAACTGTGGGCTCACGAAAGAACACTGATGCAATGACAATAACACGGTGAGCAGGTCAAGCGTTTGTAAAAACTTGAACCTTAAAAATTACCTATAGTGGAAAATAACAAACACCACATTTCGAACATGTTGTCTAAACAAATATTGAAATAAAACACATCTTTTAAAACATCACAACTTTGTTTCACAGCCAAAATAATAAGACCACCGAAGTAAAACAGACTCTTATTCCAGTTAAGAGGGTTGGAAAGCAAAAGGTCAGAAACTTTTACACATGGTTCACTCTGTATTCTTCTCATTTCATTTTTGTGTTGATCATATGTTGGTATTAACAATGTCAGCAACAGTTCAGAGCTGAAAAAGAAACATATTTGGTACGACCAATTACTGAATGCAATTCACGATCACACCTCCAGTATCAAGCAGTGGCAGCATTAATGTGAGCTAGATAATTAATATAATAATGAAATTGAGAGTTGAGTTGATGGATTTGGAAGTTTTTTGCCAAATAATTTCTCCAGAAAAAGTGGTGACGAGAAACTTTTTTTTAGAACAAACTTTAAACACTTCAAGACCGAGGTCTGACACAACATTCAGGAATGTCTTTCTGCTTTCAATAACGCACAATCATCAGCAAAAGAAAGTTACAGAGGGCCTTACAAAGTGACTTGTTTCAATCATAAAATAGCTCCTCTTTAATGGGCTTTATATATATTCAACCTGGAGAAATTAATCACATAATTTGGTCACCTGCAATGAAGCATACACGACACCAAAGCAACAAAACCTGTGTTGCATAAAAACATCATACAGTGAACTAGACAATGATTAATGGGGCAGGAAAATAAATTCTGAAAAGTGCAACTCATCATGTATCCAATGACTGAATATATGATTTAAGATGAGGCTGAGAAGCTAGGTGAAACAAATGGAAGTAAAACATTTAACTCATGAACTAAAGCTGAGAGCATGGGTGAAAATTTTGTTCTTATTCCTGTACAATATCCAAGTTTTAAAACCATCAAATGAGTATTTATCTTTTTTGTGTGTGGTTTAAATGATTTTTTATTTACTATATATTCAGTGTTTATTCCCTCTAAACTGAAAAAATGTTTTTTGACACCTAGCATTCAGTCTTTGTAATTATGTAATTGCACTTAGAAATAAAAAATATATACACACCAAAATCCCATTTATAAATGAGCCTTAAAGTGCTCATTTCAATTGTTTGAAATCAGATTAGCAAACTTTTTGTTTCTGGGATATATGATACCCCAAAAATGGCAAATGAGGATTTGTTTGTCTCTCAATACAAACACTTAGGTTTTTAAAATTCTCCTATTAATTAAACAGCTGAAATCTGGCATCCTGCAGGTAATCGTGTTGATGCTTGAATTCCAGAGAAAAGCCTCAAAGGTTCTTGGTTTTCTTCTGTGACGTTAAGCGCTGTCTGTCACAGGCTGCAGGGAGAACAGTGGAGAGCAATGAGTACAGACCATTTCTCTTTCTTTCATTGTCTCATGCAACATGCATACAATGGTCAATACATAACATTACTGCATTATATCATGGTGTTTTTTCAGGTTATGCAAAAACACTTGAATGGTCCTTTCAGCCCACATTAAGTTTCCCACTCATAACAAGTGTATCTCACCTTATCTGCTGTTAGCTGGCCTCCTGCTGGAGTGTTTTCCTGGGCCTCTGCTTTTGACTCACTCTGTGAGGAGGGAGCAGTGGCCTTGGGTCCAGCCACGTCATTAAGCTTGGCCTCTGCGTTCAACTTGTTGCCGTCTACCTTAGAGTCACCTTCCGCCTCTGCATCCTTTGGCCGCTTGGGAGATGCCTTACAAAAGGGTCGACAAGTGTGAGTGTATGCACCTATGAACTCCACTCCAGCTCTCTCCATTTTTTGTTTTGTTTTGGACACTCGACGAGTGAATCTCACCTCTGTGGACTCCTCTGCTTTTCGTTTAGTTCCTCCCCTCTCGTTCTTCTCGTCGATGACCAAGGCCCCTTCATCCTCATCGCTGCTGCCCTCGGCATCTGCTTTCTCCGAACTAGCTGTATCCCCTGCTCCTTCTGAGGCGTTGTCCTTCTTTGATGACTGAAGGCAGAAATTAAAACATTAGTGGAAGACAAGATGTGTTAGTGTGAATGTTTGAACTTTGCCCCGCAGAGAGCACACGCAAATGTTTTCTTGAATTAGTTACTGCATTTACTACAGGGTAGTTTTCTCACAAAATATCAAATGATTAATTGTGTTGAAAGTGGGAAACCAATTCAGCAACAGAAGCTGAACTGAAAACAAGGGACAGGTTTGCTATAGCTTCCATTTTTGGTTTCACTTCATTGTGGTTACTTCTTCTATCTTAATGCACCCTATTTCATTTACCTCCCCTGGGAATTAACCAAACTCTCACACAGGGCACAGAAATATAATAAGATTACTCATAGTGAAATAAAACAAACTGCAACACAACACAACACAGCATACACCTGGCCAGTATCCTGGAAATAAACACACCTCGTAGCCTTCGTGCGTGACTGTAGGATTGTTCTCGATCTCCCAGAGTCCCTCAGCGAAGCCTTTCCTCTTGTTTGCTTTTCCAAACTTTTCCTTAT